CTGACAACAGCATCTAGAACTGACAACAGCATCTAGAACTGACAACAGCCAGATTCAAGATGGCTGCCACAGCCAATTGACGTTAAAAACACAAAAATGGCTCCAACTTAAGACATTTGCACTGGCATTGGCATAAACTTTGAAGTGACTGTAATCAAGACTCAACATACATTCTGAACACCAACACACTGCAAAATATATTTGTTTAAAAATTTGTTATGAATATTTTGCTAACAGACTGAATATGTATATGTATGTATCTATATGTCTATATCTATACGTATGTATATATATATACATATATATAAATACATATATACATACATATAAATATTCAGTCTGTTAGCAAAATATCTCATAAAGTGCTATAATCCCTAGATGAGCATCTCCAATTAATTACCCTTTGGAGCTAGCCCAATTGAAGACAGCTGCCACAAGCAACTGACTTTAGAAAGATATCAATGGATACAGTTGAGGAGATTTTACAGAGACTGTGCTACATCTTGATGTGGTTATAGCTGAGACTCATTCCCATTACAGACTCCAAATGATATTCAATGTTTCCTAAAACTCTAACTCAAACTCTTAAAATTATATTTGTTTGTGAATAAAATATGGTAAATGAACTGTATTTACAGAGCGCCTTCTATTGAATCAAGACACTCAAAGCACTTTACAACACAATCTGTGCCTCATTTACCTCCACACACACATTCATACAGCTCTATACTAGATCTCTACAAATATAATCTGAACAAATCATTCTAAAGAGAATAATCAGAGCTTTATCACATTCATACACCGATGGGACACACATGAGAGGCAATGAGGGGTTCAGTGTCTTGCCCAGGGACACTTCAGCATGTGACTGCTGGTGGAATCAAACCCCCAACTCTCCCATTGAAGGACAACTGCTTTAACAGTGCTGCTCCTAACATCTCATGAACCACTGGACAGATTTTAAAGCAACTCTCAGGAAGTTATGATGATAACATGTACATGTAAAACTGATGAATGTTTGGGGTCAATCCAATCCTAAAATAAATAATCTTAAATGCAGAAAAAGCTGTACAATCTAAAATAAATTACTGTAAATTTAGGAAACACGTGAAAATAAACATATATATATACATATATATATATATATGTATATATATATAAATATATATATATATACACATATATACACATATGTATGTATATATATATATATATATATATATATA